GAGGGAGAAAGAAAGAGAGAACGATGATGCATACGAGATAGGCACTAATTTAACGGCGTGCCAAGAAACACCGTTATAAATATACCGAGATTTAGGTAATTACGGGGGTAAGAGTGATTACGCCCACAGCCCGAGCGGACCTTACATTTATTAGGGGGCGGACAAAGCGGCGAGATAAGAGCCTGCTGAATCACGGCCTGATGAGACACGAGCGTGTAAATGTGTTTTCGGTGTACCCGCGACAGCACTTAACAATTGCCTAAAATAACCAGAACCGCGTGCGCCACTCGCGGAAAGTGGCTCTTGCGCGCGCGTGCCGCTAAATTCGGACCAAATCGAGAATCGGGATGTCGGCGTCACGCGATTCGCGCGACAGAACGTTCATCTACTTGGCTACTAGATCCGCAGATCGAGATATAAAAAAAAGTATATGATATATTTCTGTGCGAAACGCCCGGCGGACAGACGCGTCGGAGAAATAAAGAAAACTGATAAATATGTATATGTAATATATACATATGTATATGTAAATAGAAAAAACGGTTTCGCGAAAATATATAAAAATTCATTTTACGTTTGTTTTTTATTGCCGCACTGGACCGCACTAAAATTTTCCTTCCAAGCTTCGAACATGTGGAATATGTTTATTTCATTTTAAATGTAACAACTGTACGTTAGTTTAGCTATAATATAAAATAGATCTTTTGTTGGATCATCATAATAATCAAATAAGAAGATAAAAAATTTAAGCAGATCTGAAAGTAATTTTAAATTTGTTTATCGTTACACTGGACCGCACTAAAATTTTCTCTCATCAAACCTCATGCTTATGTTTATTTTAATAACAAATGTATACTAGTTCACTTGGGTTATTATAATAATCGAATAAGACGATTCAAATTGGTTACTAAAATAGAAGAAGTTTAGTTACAATATTATCATCATGCTCTTATAATTATTTTATCCAATAAATTATTTTTAGATTTATATCTGGTTTAATTTTTAGATGATTTGATAAAATTGAATAATGCTTCGTAGATCTGAAAATGATTTTAGTTGATCATCAAAATAATTACGTTAATAAAACTGTTCTTTCCGTATTTTTCTGAGGTAAATCTATATATATATATATATATATATATATATATATATGTGTACATATATAATGTGTATATATATAAAGAATTGTTTTGTTTCGTAATGAAATATTTATCAGACTTTACGTCACGTCCAATTAGTTTAAAAAACAATTGCTGCGCGCATGTCAAGTAATTTTAAATAACTTTGCAAGTACAACGAATATATAATAGAATAAATGAGATACTCACCCCCACGATTGTGTTCCACCGCTATCTGATGCCTCTTCCATCTCCTCCTCTTCCTCCTCCTCCCTTTTTCCTGCTGTTGCTTCTTCGTAGTATTCGCGAAAATCGGCTAATTATGTGCACAATGCGCTTCGTATATGCTAAACCCCGCAAATATTATTAATAAACAGTTGACGCATCACGACTTTGCGTTACTCGATCCGCGGATTTACTACGTATTATTCCGCGACTCAAGAATGAATTACATCGCGAAAATGAGAAAAGTTCACGGTGCACAATGGAAAATCCGTTCGACGTCGCCTCGGGAAAAGAATTTAATTCATAACATCGTAAATATCTTATGTAATGAGATTGTAATTTACAAGCGTCGTCCGCTCGGCCGCTCGCCTCGATTCTTATTCCGAATCGCCCGGAACGTCCATCTCGCTCGCGCGACGTCGTCGCGACGGTCTATTTCGCTGGCTCGTAATTACTAATCGCGAAAAGAATAATCGCGTTTCCTCAACATCTCGCCGCTCGCATCTCAAAGGATAATAATTGCGACGACACACGCGGAGCGACTGCCGCGTACAGCTAACCTGCCCCGGTTGAGCGTCGCCACGCAAATAATGACCTTGTGTATACAACAGCGCGCTGTACGCCGTAGATAACCGCCGACGTTCTGTGTTATTATCACGGAATGTTTTGAGCGTGTATTATTAGGGCAAACGCAATATTCCCCGTTCGTTTAATTTCAAACTGATTTCGACGAGCGAGCGTGTCCCGCGCGCGCGCGCGCCG